AGCAACCAGCTTCAGATGGTAGAAGCTGGACTGGACTACTGCAGAACCTGTTTATAAGAATAAATAATATATCTATAAAAGCTCCAAGACTAAATAAAGACGTAGAATAAAACTAAGTTAAAGGACCGGTTCCACTGTGAGGTAAAACAAGTGAAAATAGACACACACACTTCAGCTGTCTTTCACACTGACGCTTTAGTTGTGTGTCTTCTGAATGAAGATGGCAGACTCCTACCATGCATGGCATGTGGCTCATGTGAACATAATCTATCTGGCTGTGTGAACACGTGTGCGTTTGATGGCATGCGTTTCTGTGTTGCTGGGTGACACAGCGGCGAGATTAGTCCTAGAAACCGCATCTATTCATAGCTCCTGGGCTGTGGGACCTCCTGCTGCTGAAAGCTACCTGATCCGAACCCAGCTTCACTTCACTTCATCATCATTAACGCCAGCCGGGGAATTGTTGAGATGAAGTCAGACTGTGACGAACCGTAGCGAACGCCATGATAAACATTCTAATAATCCGGTGATTTAAAGAGCAACACATCTGCTTATAGGCCTCATAGAGCACCATGCTACACTAGCTACACATCCCCATCGTGATGTAAAAGGAAAATGAAGCGGTGACTGTGGAAAAAAAAAAAAGAGCATGGCTTCAGAACGCTCTGAGGGAGGCTGAAAATAAAAGACAATTAACCAAGTGTGTGTATGAATAGATTTATGGCAAAGCGCGGCGCTTAGAAAACACTGAAAACCCTACACAATGCTCGCTCACATTCCCCACGCGCCTGGCTCGCCTCCCGCTGCCAAGGAACCCAAAAGCCCCAACAAAACAAATTCATTAACCCTGACAATAAAACACAGCTGTATGGGGTAATGGGAACTGTTTGAAAATCAGAGAATGGGATTCAGGAGTGTCTGCTCCAGACAAACTGCACATCGGGGAGGGGGGGGGAGAGAAATGAAGCCATGTTTTATTTCAATTTAAATTGGGGACAGTAACAGGGGGGGAAAAAATGCATTTTGAATCCTGACAACAAAAACAATTGAACTGCACCAGATGTGGGATTCTGGGACCTGCTTCCAACTGGATCCTTTGAGCAGGTTGGACAAAGTTAACTGTCAAACTGTATATATATTAATAATGAGTTCAAAGAGCTTCTTATAAATACAGATTCAGGAAAAAAAACACTGAAGCCCATCTCTTTCACTTCTGATCTTTCAGCAGTGCGCTAACAGCAGCTTGGTATCGATGTGTGTGACATGATGTGTTTTAGCTGTAGGAAACATTGGAGGCTTGAACGGGAGCAAGGATCTGAGGGATCAGACTAATAAAGGCAACCACTAGAGGGCTCTGCAGCTTGTAAAATCAGCCTCACACACTTAACTACAGCCCACTGACAGTAATAAACTACATTATGATCACTGCGTGGTTAAAAGAAAAAATGATGCATCTGCAGGTAGAGTCGGCTCCTACAGCTGTCCTCTTCTATAGTGCAGCTCGCTACACAGAGGCTGCTGATTTCATTTGAAGGTAAACCCATTTAATGTCAGGAAGGTGGTTAAAATACAAACACCATTATGGGAGTTTTCAGGAATCTGGTGAAGATTTATATAGACATCATATTCCTTTGTGATTTTAAAAGTCATAAGCATGTAATATTAAAGGTGCTGTTTTTCCTCCTGGATCCTTTTGGATCAGTTCACTTGAAAACAATAAACTTTTCATTCTTGCTTTAAATAGAGTAATAAAAATCCTTTAAATAAGTGCATTTGCCCTTAATTAGAGCAGATAAATAGGAAGGTCTACTTATGGAATAAATACTTTTGACCTTAAAATGATATAATTAGATATAATCAGTACTCCAGTTGAGTGTCGAGGAGGGGGGAAGGCATCCCCACTCTCAGAAAAGTCTTAAAAATCATCCCCCTTCTTAAATGACCCACCCCCCATCCCATCCCCTGTGACATTTTATAACTGAATGTGTAACATTTCTACTATATATTAACAGTAATGGTAATAATGTTACCCTTTCAACATTTGGCAGGCTGTGGGCTTACAAGTAGCCTGAGCAAAATAAATAAAAGAAAAATAAATCCACCATCCTCCTTCATTTATTTATTTTTTTTTTTTTACAACTAGACTACCTGAAATAGAATACCTGATTAATTTCTTTAGAAAAATTGACTTATCTGATCAAATAAATGGAAAATAAACTTATTTGAAGATAAATTGATTTACTTGGATTTTCATTTTTGGAGGGAAGAAAGACTAATAGACAGAAATGTCTCAGAATGATCATAAATACCCAATAAATGTGTGATATTACAAGAAGAAGTGAGAGGTAAAGAGGTTATATCTCACTGTATTATGACACTAATGATAAGCAAACATAAGGAGTTTTTTTTTTTAGAGTTGTCTCACTGCAACTCAGAAAGTAGCAGGACAGCAGACAGGAAGCTGCTCAAACAATGAGAAAACATTCTGGTGTTCACTCGGTAAAATCTAATTCAGGGTCCCAACAGTCAAAAAACATGCCAGAACCGAACCAGCGAGGCCAAAACAATCAAACATACGAGGCACATTATCTTTTGCAGGTTTTCTGACCGGAAGAAGCAGACTTTACCGATGACAGAGGGACAATAACAGTAAAAGCAATTACAAAACCCTATATGGCTTTTATTCAACAACTCTAAAGTTTATCCTTTATTTTTTCTGCATCCTCTGTTAGGTTTTAGTGAACCCTCCTCTGTTGTTTGACCTTCTATCATGTTTGGGAATCAGAGGATCTGAGTCATCTGAAACTGAACTAAACATATCCTCCCATAAGGAATCTCAAAGATGAGAACAGTAGAGTGAGTTTGGGGCTCGCTTTATTTAAACCAATTTCTCCTCCTGTTCTCTCCTCTCCCTCTTCCTCACCAATGCTGGTAAATATTTTTATATTGTGTTCCATTAGAAAGCTTTATTAAGCGGTCAGACGGGGCAAATGGCGCCTGGGTGCTCCTTGTCCTGTAAACAATAGGAAGGGCCCCGATGGCTGAAGCGCAGTAAACTAATGCCACATTAGAGGAGTGCTTCGCTCTGAGTAAGTAAATATTTAAATGTGTTGGATTCACCCTAAAGAGTTAGGGTTAATAGAAGAGGCATCCTGACAGATTCTAGAGGGAATCGGTGTAATTCTGCATAAACTATATGTTGGATAAAGACTAGAATCCTGTGTAAAAGTTGCCTTTTATCACTTCAAAAAGGAGAGACAATGAGACAAACTGGAGTAAATATTTTAGAAGTAAAGAGAGATGATACAGTAACCCGTGTTTGTCAGATGAGCGTACTCGGTCAAACCAGCAAAAAAACTATTTAATTACTTACTTTTTTGAGTTTTTTTTAAGCATATGGTGATCTGACCTTAATTGTTTGTTTTTTTTGTACATGACTAAAGGGATGCTCGCCTGCCGAGATAGTTTAAAGTCTATTTTTCGTACAAAACTAAAGGGATAAACGCAAATCTGGCGTCTTGCGCATGCATATTGACTATGAGTATGCAGGTCTTACAGAACACCGGCTGATATTAGGGGTCACGGTCGATATGTGCATGCGATGGCCAATTCGTTAGTGCAGTGGTACCAACATGTGGGGTGTGCCCTCTAAGGGTGGGACAGTGTAATTGCAGGTTGGGTGTGGTAGAAATTAATGGAATAAATGACCTAGCTGGAGAGTTTTTTTCAATTATTGAAAGGAATTTTGAATTCTATTCCACAGTAGGATAAACAGCTAAGCCTAAAGTAGTTTAACTTTAAAGAAGAAGTTTTATCGATTTAAAGTCGTAGGGAATCTGCTGTTCCAACCGTTGTGTGTGATTGGTCGATTATCAAGGGGGCGGGATTGTTGTGGCAGAAGGTTCACAAGCAAGTTTGGTTGTAGCTGGTTTGTCGAAAGCATCCTGCTAAGCAGTTAGCAACTTAGTGCTAGTAGGTTCCCAATGGGAAATTCCATTGAGACAAAGTAGATCTAAATTGGTGACTTAGAAACGAAACTGTCAAGGAACGCTATGGACAGAAGAAACATGCAAGAGGAGGAGAGTTTGTGTCAGAGGTCGTGAATGAGTCTCCTCTGTCATCCATTTTTTATTTAGAGGAGGAAAGCGGGGACGAAGATGCTGTGGAAGAGGACGCCAGGGCGGCAGAAGCTTGGTTTGGTGTAGAAGGCTTCCAGCCGTACATGTTTGAGCCCTTGCCTCGCAACGCTGCCAGTTCTGTTAGCTCTACGCCTGCCGAAGACACAGACGTCCATCCCCGTGAACACTGGGACGGAACTCAATGGGAAAGGAAATGATTCGTATTTCTTATTTCAATCATTGCGTATATTAGCTGTGAGTCAAGAGGCTATGACTGAAAAAATGTGATTGACAGATGACCGTTGATATATGATTGGCCGGATTTAGGTGTACAGGCTGATGTATAACTAACTGGCCTGCATAGAATAACAAAAGTACATTTACATAAATATTTAAGCCAGAATGATATGAAATTTAAATATGACTTCCCTACAACTTTAAAGAAGAATGCTCTCGACTTTAGCTTGTTCAGCTTGGAGCAGGTTTAGACACTGAGGGGGAGCAGAAACGTTCCTATAAACAAAAGAGGAAGTTTGGGAATCATTGCATTAGTGCATCCAGCAGCCTTGCCTTGAGATCACTTAAAGCAGATGCATTGCCGCCCCCTCCGTTTGTTATCCACTGGTAATGTTTAGTTTGATTTGTTATTGAATGCCTGTTTTTTGTTCAAATTGACATTTGTAACATTTGTTATGACTGTTTTATTTTTCTTGTGTGTGTTTATTGTGAAAAAGAAACATGGCAGCACATATTGGGAATCAGTTGATGTGTAAATAATCTGGATCAGATGTAAAAACCTGTATCGGTCTATCTCTATTCAGTAATGTAGGATCTGAGGGTTTTGAGTTTGAGTGCATCTCTCTATTCAAGGTGAGAAGTTACCTCTGAACTTTTCTCTGAAGCATTTGATCCCACCATGTTGTCTCGAAGGAGCTGCTGGAGAAGCTGCACCTGGGCCACACTAAGGTAGAAATCCAGACTGCTGGTCACGTTCACCTCCAGAGAGTGGCCACACACCACCACTTCCTACGGAGAGAGAGGGGAGGCAAAGGGGAAATTAAGAGAAGAGGTGGGAGTAGAGAGGGGGAAATATACCCAAAACAACATTGGGAATGTTTGTGGTCTCATTTAATGCTCCTCTCATGGGTTTCCTCTACAATGCTGTGTGCTCTCTGTCCTGGTCTCTGCTCCACTCCTCACCCTCTGTCCTCTCCAGGGTCCCACCCACAGCCAGCAGTGCAAACCTGAGCCAGGAGGCTCCATCTGATAGGATATTACTCACCAACACTGAGAACCGAGCCACACACGGAGCAGACCTACACTACCTTCTCCCTGCTCTTGGACAAAAATGACTTCAACTCATACATTTTAACACATATTTATGCTTTATATGTGTTCATTTGATTAATAGAGAGTGGAGCGTAGAGTATGTTTTATTAATAATTTGATCAAAGTACATTTATGTGTTATGTGCGTAGCTAGAAGGAAAAAATGACTTCCCCTTCAAACTAGAAATTATTCAATACTACACAGTTCAAACCTGTTTTATTTGTGTTGTTACTGGCTCAGAGTAACTGTATCTCAGCAGGTTATACAAATTACTTATTCTTTCTGTGAGTGCATGTGTGTGTCACGGTAAAAAAAAAAAAAAAAAACAACAACTATGGATTAGCTGTTACACATTGTCAAGGGGCACGTTAGCGTGGTCGGACGAGGCATCAAAGGAGGCAGGAAGTCTCAGAGAGCCGTGCCAGAAAACATCAGCTGTATAAGCAGAAAGGTTTGAACTCTGGAGGTCAAAAACCTCCATTACACTCTGGACTGGTGGTGGTGGTGGGGAGGAGGGTTTGGGGTCTAAATGAGATTGTTGCTGTAAGTTAAGAGCAAAACATAAATACTTCTGACATCTCACATAATCAATGTCTATTTTCATATGAACAACAGATTGTAATGGCTGCAGGAATGGATTTAACAGGCCGTGGTCAAAAAGGCAGAGGGAGCTGGTTTATGTACCAAGCAGTTCCTCAGAAATGAGATGAAAACCTTTATACCCATAAAACTCATTATGATGGAAAATCCTTAAACCAACCTGCTGAAATGGATTTGAAGTGGTTAAAGTTAGAGATACTTCATTCTTTTAAATGCTCAGCGCTCTGCAGACCACTTCCCATTATGCTGACTTTAATGGATTTCATTAGTGTTTTTAGTACAAGTAACTGCAGACTGGTGAAGTGGATGTGGCTTCTACTTATGAACAGGGGACGGGGATGGCTCAAATATAACTCTTTCATAGAGTTTCTCATAGAAAATCTCAAAATGAGGGAGGAACCAACCTGAGACAGTAAACTGACTGTGATTAGCCAGGAGAGAATCCTCTTAAAACATCACCGTTTCCTTCCTGGAAGCGGTTAGTAATGATAGTAAAGCATCTTTTGCCTAAAGAGTTGAATTCTGACGTCATATCCAACAGCCAAGTCTGTCATCAACTGACAACTTTACAAACACAGTGCAGGATACAAAGTTGAAAATGCTTAACTGTAGCTGCAAACTGATTTATTGTCCCACACTGGGGAAATTCTTTCTCTGCACTTTGACCCATCCACTTGGAGGGCAGTGGGCTGCCATTGTGTGGTGCCCAGGGAGCAGTGTGGGGTTAAGGTCTTGCTCAGGAAGTGTCAGTCCGTGGGAGTCGGGCTTGAGCTCAGAACCTCTGGATTCCAAGCACAATGCTCAAACCACTAGGCCAAACTCCCCTAAGCCTAATTTTCCTCAATATAAACTCTGAAGCTAACGTTAGCTTAGCTCATACGGTGTCATTCATGGCTGTGTTAAACTAAGTTATTAAATGATGACCTAACTTAACCAACTTTTTAAAAAGAAAAGCGATTAGCTTTGCTAACATTAGTAGAAAACTGTTAGAAAGTCCACCTTAATTACTATATAGGGCACTATATAGTGATTATGCCATTTTGAGTGTCCAAATGTCTATTGGATTAAAAAGTAGTTGAGTCAAAATTTCCCACAATGCAATTTGAAAAGCAGTGTGCAACCATGGTTCCCAGATGAGCAGATATATCCTAGAAGGCTTTGCGAGAGCTCCCCTCAAGAAAATTGTATGAAATTTGTTTTGGAGGCAACAGAGAACAAAGATGGAGCATGAGTCACATAACCAATGGGAAAGCAAAAAGTAGCGATCATCTATCTGAGTGATCAGTTAACTGAGTTGACTATATAGTCCTACTCTATACAGTGAATAAAGGATTATGCTAGGTTCAGACCACAAGCAGCAAGCTTCATTTTTGATGCCTGTAGAAGATTAGTTCCGACGCGCGGCTGAAGCATCTTTTCTGCTCTGGCTGCGCGGGCGAAAAGTGGGTCTGATGCACATTGGGAGGAGCTACTCTGTCCTTTCTTTGCCGGTAACAATGGCAGCTATATTTGCTGCGATTATTGGGTAAAAAGTAGTTTTAATGTTTTTAAGTGAGAAAGTCCACCTAAAAAGTTTATCAGTGCAGTCAGTTTATCCAGATTAGCAACCTGCCCATTGTTTCGGTCGGAGCCGCTCAGACAACCAAACACCTGCGGAGCTCTGTCACTGGGAACCCAGTTCAACAGGTCACCTCCAGGCGGTTTTCCGCTACTGTTCACAGCGGCTGGAAGTCTTTTTTTCACGTTCATAGTCCAAACTGCAGGCACCAAAATAATAAAATCGAACATATTTTACTGGCAGGTTTCAACATTTTAATTTAGGTTTTAACAAAGTGTTTCAGGGGAGTGATCATAGCGTGTCTGTCTCCCTGCCGGCACCTAGATCAGCTCCTCTCATTGGTTGATGTGCTGCTTCGAGCAGCAAAAGTTAAATTTTTCCAACTCCAGCAGCTGTTGCTTCTGAACTGCATCGCGCGGGTCAGACGGTCAGAAGCTCACGACTTGCTGCTCCTGCTGCTCCAAATGCTCTGCAGGCCCTTTTGCTGCGTCGAGATGTGCATCAAACATTGACTTTGCATGAAAAGTAGCTGCTCCTGCTGCCTCTGCTGCTTTAGGTGTGAACGTAGATTTAGAGGTTAGGGCGGACTTTCTGACACAGCCCAGGCCTCTGTGTGTCCAAAGGTTGTCGTCATCCACTAGTTTTCTCATCCCATCATCCTCCTCAGACTATCCTCAGTTAAAGGAACTTCCCAGTAATCCTCTCCCACTCTTCAATAAATAACACCACCTCTTGAGTGTTTTTCACAAACACAACAATGAGGCAACTCTACATGCGGTCAATTGCAATCTAATACATGTAGGGATATTAAAGTGAGGAACCTGTGTACAGTATGTGTAGGTGCATCTTATGCAATCACAATATACATGCTTGTGGACATAATGAGGAAAACATAAAAGTTTTAAAAAGTGTGAACACTTCACAGGGTGATAGAGTACAAATCTTCTGAGTAGAGAAACTCAGGTTCTTGGAAAATCTGTTGAAATATTGTGAAGAGTCTTTGCTCACCTCTGCCTGCCCGCACTCAGGAGACAGAATTTTGCTGAAGATGATGGCAGGAGCAGCAGTCACCCGAACAGAGAAGTCAGTCAAGATGGGCGTCAGGATAGCTCGCCGCTCCTGCTGCCGCCTGATGCTGTGCAGACATAAAAACAAGAGGAGACGTTCTAGCATTTTGCTTCATGAACATTTTCTAAATACAGACTAATTCATTTTCAATGAGGGTAAAACAGAGAGGTCGAGCATAATGCTAAACTTTACCAGTTATTTTATGGCTGCTGATTGTTCAATTGTTAGAAGACAGCCCTTTAAGCAAAGAGCAACAAAAAGAAAGATTGAAACTGTTCATTTGCTGAAGGAAAGTCAAATATTTTAAGACATTTTAAAGTTAAAACTGAATGTAGATATTCCCTTTGCAAGCCTGATATCTGAAGCCTTTCACATTTCTCTGGAAACATATTTTCGCCTGAGTAGCATTACAGACTGAGGTCTTATTTGACAAATCTTAACAGGGGATCCCCCCCCTCCTCTTTATTGCATACACAAGATCAAACTGAGAACGTCTCGTATTAACTCTCCCCACTCTTCACTAATGCTCATTCCCACAATCAGGTCATATTTGTGGGAACATTTGTTAGCAGTAAAACAAACATACAAGGGAGCTTTATAAGGTGGTGTTAATTGCCACATCTGGTGCTATTAAAACAATCAAGTGGTACAGCTTCCAATATTTATAGTTGGCCGGGATTAAAAGAGGCCCCGTGTCTAGGTGGCCCCGACTACAGTTCTTAACCGGAACCAATATCACATTCACTTCTGCTATACAAATGTGCATTACCAGTGCCCTAAAGGGATTATTTTCTGACACATTTCTTTGTGTACAGAACTTAAGAGGGGCCTAATTCAATGGTGAAATGATCTGTGAGGCCAATTGGTGCTGGCTGATCTCCCTTCAGACAGGGGATTGAAACAATGAGAGTCTGGTTGCAGTGGACAGGTGCTATCATTCACCAGCAAAGCTTAGAGGCGTAAGGTTCAATTTACTAGCATTACGGGGGCTCAGATGGAGTCAGGAACACCATCTCTCTGTCTCTCAGTTTGGAATATCGTTTTCTGCAAACGTCTAGGCCAAATTAAAAAATAAAACTTATTCCACATTCAACTCGACGTGATCGGTGAGCTACAACAGGAGCGGTGGTGGGAAATAAAGCGGGGCCTGTGCCAGAGGATCACAGCTCTATAACCGAGGGTGGTTTTCACAAACCATGGCACTGGAACCTCCTCACAAAATATCAGGGAGTTAACAAGGGCCTCTACAGATCCACAACTACTGGAACTGAACCCAGAAGGCGAGACGGTGAACACGCCTTAGAGGGCAGAGCGTATCGACGCAGAGAAGAAGGGAAGTGTGGAAGCAGTGTGTGTCAAAGCTTGTTAAAACCAAGGTGGTGTATTTGGGCCTGTGATTGTAGCAGACAAGCCAAACTGAGAACTTGACTCCCGTTTTCCTCAGTGTGCTGGAACATTCTCCATCACATGTTCACAGACCGGAAATGGGCAGAGAGGGAGAGGAAACAGACAAGCAGCAAAGGTCTAGAGGCTGAGAATCAAAGTCTGCATGGTTACATCAAGAACAACAGACTACTACTACTACAACCACTAATACTATAACTGTTACTACTACTAATACAGCTACAAGTACTACAACTACTACTATCACAACTACAACATCTACTACGACGACTGCTACTAAAACAACAGCCTCTACTACAACTACCAAATCTACCACTCCTCCTACTGCTAATACAGCTACAAGTACTACTAGTGCTACAACAACTACTATTACTGCTACTACTAATGCTACTACTGCTAATGCTACTCCAACTACAACAACTGCTACAACTACTATTACTACTGCCACTACTAATGCTACTACTGTACAACTACAAGTGCTACAAACGTGTACTATTACTACTACTGCTAATGCCACTACAACTTCTGCTATTACTACTATTACTACTACTGCCGTAGCATTTGTTAATGCTAGAAAGCACTTCTACAGCTATCACTACTGCTATTACAACTACTACTACTGCTACTAGGGCTAGTACTACTACTGCTATTACAACTACTGCTACTACTACTACTGCTGTTACAGCTAATGCTACTCCTACAACAACTGCTACAACTACAGATACTACTGTTAATGCTACTACTACTGCTACTAGCACTACAACTACGACTGCAAACACAACTACTACTACTGCTACTAGGGCTAGTACTAATACTACAACTACTACTACTGCAAACACAACTACTAGTTTTGCTACTAGGACTAGTACTACTACTACTACTGCTGCTGCTAATGCTACTCCTACTACAACTGCTACACCTATTTCAACTGTAAATGCGACTACTACTACTACCACTAAAATAATCTTTCCTTAGTGTAAACTAGATTAGTGAGCAAGAAATAAATCAGATTTATGGTAAATTGGTTTCATTTCTATGCTAACTACTACTATTCTTACTACTACTACTACTACTACCACCGCTGGGGCTGGAATCTTAAGGTTTGATTAATTATTTGTATAAATTAAGGAATTAATGCTATAATCTTTTTCAAACATACTAAGATCATGAACTAAAAGCTTTGAGTTTGCAGTTTATTGTCCATTCATAAATCTGACACACAAGCATCATCCAAAGCGTTGGTCCACTGTGGGTACTGAAGCTAAAAAAAACCTCTCAGTGCGACTGGTGTTGCACTAGCACAGAGATTCCCAACACTAATGACAGTGTTCACGGTTCCTGCACAGAAGATCAAGCCACTTCAGGCCAGATGATGAGCTTCAGAGCCAACATTAGTAAGTCCATGTCTGAAAAACTAAACTCTCTCGTAAAACGGGATTTTCTTTGTCTTAGTAACTTGCTTAAGGAGGAGAAGTAGCCTCAGTAACATCTTTCATTGCACTAAACATATATGTTGATTAGCAAAAGTTAAACTCATAATATTGCATGCCATGTTTCTGTATACTTTTATCATAATCAATACAAAGAGTTATTCTTTAATCGTTTTTCAAAGAAGTTGCATAAAATATCAAGAGTTTCTAAAGAAAAGCTACATTTTTATTTATTCNTTAATCGTTTTTCAAAGAAGTTGCATAAAATATCAAGAGTTTATAAAGAAAAGCTACATTTTTATTTATTCTAACTAACTGGCTGGTTAAATAACCTAAATACTGAATTAAAAACTAAAAACAAGAAATATTTGTGTTCCTGTGACAATGAGATCATTTATTCAATAATTTAGGAGCAAAAAGGTTTTTGAATATAAAAGGCTGTTTATCTTGACAAAGCATAGTTTTCATTTAAAATGTGATTCCTTACAGACGGACGTTGAACTGTGATGGATTCGCTCCTAAAGCGACGACCCAAACCTACTCCTCACTTTTCAGGCTGCTGCACTCTGCAGAGGTTGTCAAACGACTCTCATTGTCTGCTGACGACCATCATGCAGAACAGAGACGACGACTTAAGCCAGGCTTACACTGTTTTTTTGCCCTTTTCCGGGCGACTTTCCAGTCGTGCAAGAATTTTCCATTTATCATGCGTTGTGTAGTGTACAAGGGGTAACGAGGGGTGATCAGCCTCTCACGACCACCTCTCGATCAGGAATCATGAGGTCGGGAGAAAAAAAGAACATGTTTGATTTTCAGTTGGCCGTCGTGGGCAAATCGCTCAGTGGGCAAACAAGGACTCTTCTGCTTCTTCCTCTCAGTGGAAAACACAGAAGCATGGCGGAGGTGCGGATGAAATTGAGTTCTTTCTGTAAAATTGACAGACAGTAGTAGACACGTTTGCTCAGCCATGAACTTTGCCGCCTTTTTTTTTTACACCAGTTGTCAAGGCAGCAAATTTTTAACTCTAGTGAGCTTCATATTCCTCTTCTACTGATTTGACTTCCAGGTAGACAAGTCAGAGTAGCGCCATCTCACCACGGAGCTGAGTCTGACGTGGTTTTTAGACGTAGAGTGTGAGCAGGTAGATTGCATCAGAGCGTCGGGCCGCACTGTGTGAGAACATGCATCATGAGCTGTGAACTCGCACTGTACGAGGAAACCTCTGGGTTTCCTCGTACAGTGAAAGTACCGAAAAGAATCGCACAGTGCATGCCCGTCTTCCTGCAGAACTTCCTGGGCTCATCTCCTGATNTATTTATTCCAACTAACTGGCTGGTAGTAGAACCCAGCGGTTTCCTCGTACAGTGAAATTACTGAAAAGAATCGCACAGTGCATGCCCGTCTTCCTGCAGAACTTCCTGGGCTCATCTCCTGATTGATGCAGGTAGAAATGGAGGTAATGATGGTGGATTATTTGGCAAACTGCGATTTGTTGTCCCCTAACTGGTGTAAATTCAAGGTATCGACACTAAGAGAGGAAACTTATGAGTGCGTTGGTGTTCCTGACAGATCAACTCTACAGACTCAGCCTAGACGGAGGAACTTCTGAAGAGGTTCTATGACTCTGTGGTGGTATCAGCCATTCCATTTAATCCTTGCTTGACCAAGAAATATTTTCTTACTTACTTTAAGCTGACTTTTAAGTGCTTCGTGGGCATCGTTCACATTTATGAGAACATGCACAGTTTGCATGAGCCCATTCTGGAAGAGGAGTCTTTAATAAAAAGAGAGCCCAGTAAATAAATCTTAACCGGCTGCCACATAAAAACCTCTTACTACATTGCTGAGAGCGTAAGGCCCATACATCAGTATCGGCTGCAACACCAACAGTCTGTTTTATTTTCTGGCAGCAGTCTGAGGGCTATCGCTGTGTGTGCGTGTGTTTGTTTAAAACAAAGAAAATATTGATGTCTATAATGAGTATGTATGATGGTTAGTTTGAACCCAGACCCTAGAGAGCGCTTGTCTCAGGCCGTCGGGGTGAAGAAGCTGTGCGTATCTCAGCATGCATCCCTCACAGATCTGGTGACCTGGGAGCACAGCCTCAATCAGCCTCGTGTTGATTTTGCAATGCATTCTTCCACAAGGGTTATTTTTAGTTGACAGGGAACAAATCTGCGTTCCTTGCCTGCAAATCTGTGATTTTTGGGCCTGTTCCCTCTCAGTACATGAG